TGACATGGACTGTATGTGATGATGTGACCCCAGATTGGTTCCAGTGTGAGTCAAAAGTCCCGAGCCTATTTTTATTCCCACTCAGCCACTTTCTGTCCATTTACCCTCTGTTTGCCACAGCTGTTGTCAAGCTGATTTGAAAACATGTCATATCATGTCAGTAGCTCTTCTGTAGCAGCCATCCCTTTAAATTTCAGCACACAGTAAATGTTTAGTGTCTACATTTGACAAAATGCCCTTGATTGTGGCTGCTGGCCAAAGCATGCACGAAACAGAGCCGAGCTGGTTGAGAGACATGAATGGGTCCGTTTCTTTACAGGGGTCAAGGAGTGATGATTGTCTCTCGAAATGTTATTGGTCCTCAGGGCAGAAGTCTAAAACATGGACCCATGTGCTGTCCTTGAGAAGGTAATAAACCTCTGTCTCACAAAGAGACTTTGAATTAAGTGAGAGCTCAGCTTGCTGTGGGGATAAATGAAATACATCCCTTGTAAATAGTTCCCCTTCAACCCAAAGGTTTGGCTGTGAGAAAAGGCCACGCTGCAGAGCGGAGACAAAGAAACACTCTACTATGAGTTTGCAAAGAATACTTTCTCTGTTGTATCGTATAAGGTTCTGTTCAGCCGGCGGCACTTCCCTTGTGTTTGTGTTCACCTCTCTAAACTCCTAGTGAGTTTCCAATAAATCCAGTTAAAGCTGTGATGCTGTGACTCCTGACAGCGCTACACACGTCAAGCGTTTGCATTTATTGGTTGCACGAGTGATAGCGTTTCATTACACGTGAGCATCCTTACAAGCAACATAATTTCTTGGATAAATGTTGGATTCTGAGAATATCTTATTGTTCAACATCCTCAATACAGAGGCATGAAATCGGCTTTGAATGCACTGTGTCAATTCTTGTGTGTGCTGCTTATAAAAGCAGATACACGATCATCACAGGCAGCAACAAAATACAAGTTGCGATACTGTAAATAATTGATGCCTCAGTTTTGTAAGAGTAGATTAAGGAGCCAAACTGGAAAAGAATTTGGTGTGACATTGATGTTATCCCTCTGATGAGTATTAATTACAGCCCAAAAAGTGAGTACAGTTGGTGGCACAACGAGCACACGCAGTTTATCCAGTGAGCTGGGAAGAAAACAAGTCATCATGAATAAATAAACGTTATAAATACACACAAAGGAAAGTTGTCTGTGGAGATTGTCACCTCTCGATTGCGACTTGCACTGAGATGTATTTTGAGTTTATGTATCTTATCATGTGAGCTTTAAGCATTTAACTGTAGCCTACATTTTACTAGAAAAATTAGGGGTGAAAAAGAGATGAGATGAGTCATATCTGCTTTCTAATTTCACAAACGTCTGTCTGTCTGTCTGTATGTGGAACGCATATCTCATGAACCATTCATCTTATGTACTTCACATTTGGTTGTGTATCGGATAAACTACGGCAGCATTTGATTATTTTTATCTTACCATATCAGACTGAGAAACAGATGGACTGCCCCATTACAGGTGCTGAGCTCCAACTAGGCAACTACATTCACCTCCTGTTTGGCTATATATTGACTATACAATTTTCAATGCAGATAAACCAGGTAGGATGAACACAAACATTTCTAACTTCAATCTGCACCGTAGATTGCTATAAAAAATAAAAATTCAAATGAATTTCTTATTTCACGGATAAGAGAGAAAAAGAGCAAACACCAACCATAATTCGCCGTTTTGAATCCAAAATAGGTGACTTACGTGAAACGTGTAGTTCTGATGATTTTTTTGGGGGGTGGAAATAGTTTTATTACGACTTTGGTTTTATACACGAGAGCGGCACAGAGCCATAGTGAGCTGCCAACGTTTGCGCCCGCCTGAAGGGGGCCTTGAATTCAACAAGACATTCCCCTACTAGCGCTACAGTGGTCGCCAACCCGTCGATCGTGATCTACCGGTCGATCTCGACAGTCTTCACCGTGGATCTCGATAACTCTCTGGACTCAGTTTGCCGTTGCGTGGCAGATCAGCTGTGGGTCGGTTGTCTGTTGTTCACACCCGCTGTGTGTCCACTACTGGCAGCGGAGCAGCGGGTTTATCTCCCTCCTGCAGTATGCACTGAACTAAATGTCAGGACTCTACGGTATGAAGTCCTGCATCTTCTGGTCTGTCGACAACTATCAAAGCCCTATTAGAACAAATGAATGGATTCAGAAGTGAAAAAACTGGAGTGCTTTTACTTTGAAACGGGTTCAAGAAGTGTTGTAAATACGTTGCTTTAAAAGGTTGGTGACCACTGCGCTACAGCATCGAAATAGCGCGAATGCGGGGAAGAATACTGCTAGCATAGCAAGTATGGCTCCCAGGCATCTGGCAGTGTTCAGCAGACTAAAAGCCAGACAGCTGAAGAAGAGAAGAGGGCAAGGCTGAGACATGTGGCAAAACAGAGAAAGCGGGCCATGGAGACGCTGGTCCAGGCAAAGAGGAAGTACTGTCTTAATTGTTTATCTTGTTTCGCCACTGAACCCTGAATTAAACCTGTGCTGTTGCACATTTCATTGGAGAAGTCGCTAGTCTCGTTTCTTTTACAGCATAGTTGTCTGCCTTATTTCCTATAACGCATAATGTGAATATGTATAGATACTTTATTATACATTCATACTGTCCTGTAACTCTGCTTGATTTTTCTCTCAAAGTGCACCTCATGATGCTTTTAAATATAAAATGTCCAAAATTTTCATACCCCACTGGCAGAACATATTTTGTTAGCCTTGGTGAAGATGTTTTCACAAAAGCATGATTACATTGGCATTCCACAGGGTTACCACTGGGTTCCCACTGGGAAAAATTATAGTCATCATGGTGTGAATGTTACGCAGATGATACTCAACTATATCTATCTGTAGTGCCAGATGATACTGATGCTCCAAATCAAGTTATAAATTGCCTGGAACAATAGTTGAGCAACAATTTTCTCATATTAAAGGAAGATAAAACAGAAATTCTTGTAATTGGTACTGAAGAGACAAAAGATTATTAGCAAACTTGGAAGTCAGGCGCATCAAAACAAATCAAAAGATTATAATCCACACATAAACAATGTCACAAAGATTGAAATTTTGCAAGAGTAAGACAGGACCTCTCACTCTGGAAGTTGTCAAAAAGTTGACTCATGCTTTTATACTTTCTCGCCTGGACTACTGTAATGCACTATATTCAGGAATACCGAAAAAATCCATTGATCTGGCCAGGTTTTTAACGAAAACTAGGAAAAGAGATAACATTACTCCAGATTTAGCGTCATTACACTGGCTTCCGTATCACTGAGGATTGATTTAAAAATAATTTTACATGTTTTTAAGTCTTTTGATGGGAAAGCACCCTCATATATCTCAAGGTCTTTTACCGCGGGCTTGCTCAATATACCAATAACGAACTACAAACATTTTGGGGAAGCAGCTCTCTGTTGCTATGCACCAAAGGTTTGGAACAAACTCCCACAATACATCAGACAAGCTACTTCTGTTGATAGTTTTAAGAAACAACTCAAGACCCATTTCTATGATCTTGCTTTTAAATAATTTATCTTCTTTTTTTAACACCATTGACTTTATTGAATTTTTTTAAATGTATTTTTGTACCTTTTGCTTGTTTTGTTTTTTTAGGTCTTTGTTTTATTGCTAACATGCTCTTTTGGTCTATCTTGTTTTATGTTTTTGATTTTATTGTAAAGCACTTTGAGCTGCCGTTTTTTCTATTGAAGGTACTTTATTAATAAAATGTATTATTATTATGCTAATTTCCTAAAAATGTGTTTACTGTCAGGTAATTGACATTTTTAAGTTTACAGATGCAGGATTTCCATATTTTCACTTTTGAATATTTACATTAGCGTCATAAGAACAGGAGTAATGATGTGTTGAATCTGCCTCTGTAGTTCTTTCACATTTACCTTAGTCTTAGGCCTTTCTGGATTCTTATTTGTTAGTTCAGTCACATGAAAGGGATAATAAGGAAGTGTGTGCTGTTGAAGTAGATGACCAATGTGGAGTAATGTGCCACTCAAAAAGTTCCATCCATCTCCATCCTGTTGTTTCTTCACATTTAAAGTGATCCAACTACCCCACATCAAACCCTCACATTACACAGGAAACAGAAAAATCAACTTCCCCTTGGTTTCACAAGCTCTGATTGAAGAAATGTATCAAAAAATTTGGACAATGGCAACTTTATGGCCATTTGCCACATGAATTTTAGCTGAGATCAAAGCTCGACCACACATACCCAGACATACCCAGCTACAGTTTATTGTAAAAGTGCACCGTTCACTGCTGCCACGATCAACTGATTCACAAATCCTGTAAAAAGCTTTGGAGCAGATGTGTTGTCTTTGACTGCTGCTCTGCCACTATAAGGCTTCCTATGACCTGCTTTCTAGTAGAAAGCGAGCTGATCTAGGCTGAATAAAAACACAACTGTGAACAGACAAATTCACTATGGTTGAAGCCATTAGCCTGAGTACACTTTTGGCCCAGATTGACATTCACCTTCCTCACCCTGGAAATGTGACTGCATAACAATTGACTTTTAAATCTAATCAACCTCTAAACATCCAAAAGTGGGAGGGTTGGTAAACACACCATACATTGAGGGTTTAATATGGCTAGTTTGTAGTGAAACAGTGGCATCAATTGTGTTGCTGGGGCTCAGAACAAATAATGTTTTATACTAGATGAGCAGAACTAAAGATGAAACGTTAGTTGGCCTTAAGCAAGCTTCAGTTCGCAGACTACTGGCCGACCAGTAGAAAGGCTCCTTTGTGAGCTGGAGGTGGTGACGTCAAAAGGGTTCTATAAAGACATAAATTCATAGTTAAGCTGGAACAACACAGCAGTGGGATGAGCCTCAGTGTCCTCCTCCATTTCTTAACTTGCATAACTAATGAGCCTTAAGCCCTGGATAAATTAAGCACGACTAGTGACGGCTCTCAGATTTGCACAAACTAGCTTGCTGTCCACACTGTAGGCTAACAAGATAAAAGGGATTATATACTGTATGTAAACTGTTTTTTTTTATCAAATACCACTAATTTAACATGATGGAGATGCTTGAATACAGCCACTATCAGGTGAGATGAGTAGATTTTTCACTCCTTCTATTATTGGAAAAAATATCGCTAGCATGAACATGAGTTGAATATTTTAGTTCTATCTTGTTGTCAAAATAACATTTATCTTAAGTATTACATTTACCTTCTATTAAGTGTTAAGTACTCTAGGACAGTATTTACACTTGATCATCACCGTTTAAAGCTGTCGATGAGAACTACACAGTATCAAAGATAAGCTTACAGTTGCCTGAACTTTAGCTGGTCATAGATCATGTGACACAACACTCTACACTGTTCCTTTTGTGGAGTTTCAGTGTCCGCTAACTAAAACTGACCTTGAGTCTGGGTGACTGATGCTAGAATATGCTTTGTACTTTTGATTATGTTCCTTCATTCCCTCTGTAATTTAAAAAAATTAAATATGATTTAAGAAGAAAGTTCTACTCGGTCACATTACACAGCAATTCATAATTCAGCTGTAGCACAATATATTTCGTATTCAATTTTGTATACATTTACTTTAAAAGCAAAACTTGAATTTACATAGCAGCATCAAACATGAAGCTGAATTTCAAGCGTCTCTATCAACAGGTTTTACATTCAAACCTGTGTTTTAAAGCAAAATCATTTATTAAAATTATTTTGTGATCCTCTAAATGTGTTTTCACACATTTGACAGCCTATGACTAATTATCACTACTAATGTTTTTGCTCTTTTTATGAATAAGCAGTAACTGGTGATCGTCAATCCTTGCCTTCTTTTACTATACAATTGAAAAAGTATACTTGCTATCATATAGGCTTGACAAAAGACTGGTTTGAAATTCGTAGGTTGTATTCAGTTGTTTAGGTCTTTCTCACATAGGTGCAGTCCCACCTGGATAATCCCACCAAGTACCACATCCAGCAGGCCCAGAGGCAGCAGGTGAGGCAGTATCTGTCCACCACCCTGGGTGGTAAAGCCGGCAACCAGTGCCCCAGCCAGCCACCTGAGCACGGTATGCCGCCTGGGCCCGGCAGCAGTGCCCCCAACAGTCCCATGGCCCTGCTCACCCTCAGCTCCAACTGTGAAAAAGAAGTATGTCTGATCTGATTTCATCATATTCAGAAGCCCTGATGAACTGTATCATAATTTTAGAGTAATCGTGAAATCAAATGTGATTTTATTTTATACAGATGGATGATGTCATCGATGATATTATTAGCTTGGAGTCAAGTTACAATGAAGACGTTCTTGGACTGATGGACCCAGGACTCCAAATCAACAACCCGGTAATTTTTCAATTCAGTTCGATATTAATTGGTATAGTGCCAAATCATAACACACATTATCTTAAGGCACTTATCATAGTAAGGTTGAAACTTTACGATAATTTTAAGTATACCTACTTCTTTAAAAGGTTAGGCCAAGAAATAATTCATAATTATATTGACATATTTGATATTTTGTTTCATGCTGTGTAGCTCCCTGTGTCTGGCAACCTTCTTGATGTGTATGGTAATCAAGGACTTCCACTCCCGGGCCTTGCCATCAGCAACTCCTGTCCACCCAACATTAAAAGGGAATACACAGGTACGTTTCACACTTATCTGGGATTGTCAGTATATTCTTTTTACTGTTGATTTACTGCTCTTACTGTGATTTAGGCTAAGTTTAACTGAGAGTTGCAAACAGTGAGAGCACTTACTGTACCTGTGATGAACAACTGATTCCGTTCAATACATCTAACTTCATCTGGTAGTCACATCCCATTAGAATATTGAAAGTTGTCATATGTCTACAGGTCCGATTACTTTTTTACTTGTGTGTTTTTGTAGTTAAATCCTAATTAAGGTTATAGAACACATTTCCATCAGAATGTAAGAAGTGAGAGCATAGGGCATTGTTGATATTGTGTGCAATTTGGAAATGCACAAGATACCATTGAATCAATAATTTGCCAAATAATTACTCCAGCTCCTGGCATGAAGCAAGTACTGGACAAGTCTGGATCCTGTAGCCAGTATGAAAACTATCAAAGGCAAGAGGGCTATCCAGTCGGTAAGCAAAGTCAACAGAAGTGAAAAAGATGATGTTTTGTCAACTGTAAAAGCTGTTTTCAATCCGATTTTCAGGAACTGTATGTTAATAATACGTTTTTTTTGTATTAATAAATCGCACACGATTAAAGTGAATAAAGTGCAAACATAGAATGCTTTTGTAATCCTGAGATCATGCCCTATATTTTTTAGTAGTCATGATTATGCAATATAACGTGATAAATTAAAAGATATAAAATGTGTTAAGTTGCAGAAATGTTGAAATGTTACCATGCAACCACGTTCATATAAATACTGTCTTATTAGCCCTTTATTAAATGTTTTCTCAGGCCCTGACGTTCATGTTTCTCTTTGCTTCATAGAGGCTGAAGTTCGAGCTCTTGCTAAAGAGAGACAAAAGAAGGACAACCACAATTTAAGTAAGTCCAAACAATAACATTTTTAAAGCCCAGTGATTCACCTGATACAAACTTATTATTATGCAGTAGTTCAAC